GATAGGGAATCAAGGATGGCAAAAAAAGAAAAAAAAAAGAAAAATATACAGGACATAAGAAATGGAAAATTATTTGTTGATAACACATATGTCGATGTGTTTGGTCGAGCCAATATACAGTATATTCTGGATGGAAAATTCATTTTGTATGTTGTAATGAAGTATAGTGAATTAATGTAAAGAAAATAAATTTAAAGAAAAAAAGAAAGAATGTATTCAGGTTTTGCTTCTGTCACTTTCCCAATTGCCAGAGTGTGTGCACTCACCGGAGAGAGATAGAGACAGGGAGAAAGAAAGCTCCCCCACAATGGGGCATGAGGGTCACACCGCAATCCATTCTCCGCCATCTCTCCATCCTGGCAAGATTCTGGACATGTAACAATGCGCGCGCGCGCACACGCGCACACACACACACACACACACACACACACACACAGTGTGTTTTTCAGGCTACTGGGGTCAGGACTGGAACCACATCAGCCATATGGGATCTGACTCTCTTAACCATAGTCCATGCAGCTAGCTCACATCTGTCTTTTAAAAAAGTAAAACTATGTGGACCAGCCCCATGGCCTAGTGGGGGAGGGAGCTGGATCGCACATGGCTAACCGTGACTGCGGTCCCAGCCCAGCAATTGAAAATCACTCTGGGTGTGTGTGTGTACGTGTGCTGGGAAGGAGAAATGGAGGAGCAGGGATTGCAGCATGACCACACCTCACTGAGGAGTGCTTTCTCCTCCTTCTCCCTCTCCACCTCTCTAGTGAGTACATGCACACTCCAACAATTAAAAAAAAAAAGGGGGGGGGGGGCCAGCAGGTGGTGTGGTGCTTGAGGCCCTGGACTTCCACATAGCGGACAGCATTTCGAGTCCTGGACTGGCATCTTGCTTTCTTTATGTCTCACTCTCTCTGTCTGGTGAGCAAATTTAAAAATACTAATAAATAAAATTAAATAATTCTTTACAAAAAAGGGGAAAACTACTACATACTTCTTCATTAATGGTAACAGACGGTAACATTTCTAAATACTGCTTCTTAGGTCACAACATATATATATATATTTATTGTAAAACATTTTGATAATTAAGAAAACTCGGGCCAGCAGGTGGTGCAGAGCCTAAGGCACTGGATCCCACATGGCTGTTCGAACCCTGGGCCTGGCAGCTTGAGAATCATGCTGGGTGTGTGTGGTTGTGTGCCCCAAATCCATAAAAGACTGGAGGAGAAGGGATTATGGCATGATTATCCTCCTTTGGGGTTCTCTCTCTCTGTCTCTCTCTGGTGAACATATTCACGCTATAGCAAAAAATCTAAAATAAATAAATAAATAAATAAATGAAAAGAAAGAATGCTCACTAAAGTTAGCCTCTCTGCTGTTCATAGAGTTACTCTATTAATATATTCACAAACCCCAGAGGCAACCCACATCTCCCATATTGTCTTTTCTCAGCTCCATTTTGGGAGAATTTCTAATCTGGAAACACTCTGAAAAAAATACTGCAAGTCCAGAGAGCAAAAGAAGCCCTGGGTGGTAGCTGGGCTCGCCACAGTTCTGCTTGAGCACTGGTTTCGGTTCCTGTGGACCCCACCAATCCCGCAAGCTACACGCTGATGCAAACGGCGTGCCCTGCGCCCTGCGTGCAGGCTGTCAGGCTGGGCCAGTGGGCTGCCCTTCCAAACCCAGCTCTCCCCTGTACAGCGCCAGCTTCTCCCCTCCTGCTCTCATCTGACAGAAACCTCCTTTTCTCTCCAACCTCAAGGTTCTCCAGCTAAGCCAGACATCTGCCAGACTTGACATTTCATTAAATGACAGTCACTTCTTAGAAGCCACACTCAGTATGCCAATTATCAGGAAGTAGGACAGAAGAACAGCTCACGTCCTGGAATGAATGCCTGATGAGTATGTCGCAGTCAGTAGTGCGCTTTTGCAAGGGGTGACTTACTCTAGCGAGTGCTCGGGATCTCTTTGAAAACTTTCTTTTGAAATTTGAGGAATGGAATCTTCTTTTTTTTTCTTTTGAGAGATTTTTGGGACAGGGTATGTACACTCGCTGGAGAGACAGAAAGATGGTGAAAAATCACCTCTGGGGGGATGACCATGCCACAATCCCTTCTCCTCTACTCTCTTCCTAGGATTCTGGGCATGCATGCACACGCAGCCAAGGTGAGTTTCAAGCCACCAGGTCCTGGACTCAAACCACGGTCGACCACATGGAAGTCCAGCGCCTTAACCACTATGCCACCTACTGGCCCCTAGGAATGAATTCTTCTAATCTTTTTCTTTCAACAGTAGATTTTACCTATAAAAGCATGTTAATTTTTTAAAGAAGTATTTATTTATTTACCTATTTATTTATTTATTTATTTATTTATTTATTTATTATTAATATTATTTCGTTTTGACCAGCGAGAGAAGGGGAAAGTGAAAAAGTAAGCTGCCAGGTCTGGGATTCGAACCATGGTCACCTCTGTGGGAGTTCAACACCTTAAGCACCACGCCACTTGCTGGCCACAAACACATTGATTTTGGAGCCTGAGCTAGACAGACTGAGTTGAAAACCAGCTTGCCCCCCTGATGTTGTGGTGACCCCAATATGGCTGCATGGGCTACTGAGAACCAGTGTCCACTGAGTGGAGCGTGTTCATTCCAGCTGGTCAGGTTTGTGCCGTTTCAGCAACAAAAACAGGTCTTGTGACAAGACCCTGGCAAAAGTGTCTCTGTCTCTTGCACACAGGTGCACACACTCTCTCAATCATAAAATCTTTTGACTTACCCGTCCGAGGGAGCTTGACCACGCTCTCATCTGTACTAGCCATTTCCAAAGCACTCCCAGAAGTGTGTCACTCTTGTCAAAGAAGCAAAAACACACAGCGACTGAACACATGACTGGACGAGTAACTGTCAGCTTGTGGTTCACATGAAAGCTCTCTTAGGTTAGAGGGATGGGCTCTCCCAGTTTACACCAAAGTATTTTTCTTTTTTTTTTTTGGAGAGGTTTTTGCTATAGGGCACATGCGCTCACCAGACAGACAGAGAGAGAGACATAGAGACAGAAAGCGAGAAATCACCCCCCAGGGGGGATGGTCACGCCACAATCCCTTCTCCTCCATTCTCCTCTCGGGATCTTGGGCACGCACGCACA